ATGCAAAGAGCTGCACTGTATGCATTTAGTGGTGCTGGATTAAAACATACATTTGTAGTTGCTTTAAGACAAAAAAGTGGAAAGGCTGAACCGAGATTTTTTTGGAATTTTTTGCAGAGCCCTTCAAACAAAAACAGTATACAATATCAAAGTGCCACACCATTCTATTCCATCCCATAGCATTCAGAGCCCCAAGAAATGCAGCTTTGTTGGACCCCAGATTATAGAGATAAGATCAAAATTGTTTTATTAGACTAATTAGACTAATACTAATCCAAATATCTACATGAAGGTTGCATGATGAAATATATGCTAAGAGCTTCAGGCAGTGTACTGTAGAGAGAGGAAGGTTTTTTTGAAAAAAAAAAAGGTAATTTATTTCTTTTGAGGCCCCTTAAAAGGACAATGAAAAAATAGGAAACTTATTGTAGATATCAAGAAAAAGATGTTCCTCTTCACTTTACAATTCTAGGTAAATCTATCAGTAATTCTAAATCTATCAGTAGTCTATATTTATAGAATGTTGTTAAAGCAGTACGACGAAGTGGCCTGGGAAAACCCCTGCCTGCTGTCCATCTCCTGCCTTGCCTGTTGGGTCAGACCGACTCTCAGGCTCCCATGCTCTTTGACATGCCAAAATACATGGTGAAAAAGGAGAGAAATTACTCAAACCGTAAAATCCCCTGTGTAGCATAACTAAACTATAGAAGCACTAAAAACGGAAACTGTGAGTTTTTACACATCCTGGTTTTGTCAACATTTTCTGATTAGATGCATATAGTTTTTTACCGTCATTTACAAACAGACACTTCATTATCTCTTTGTTAAAAAACTATTCTGAGCCAATTATTACTCACAAACTCCAACCTTCATGAAAAAGGCAAAACTAGTCTTCACAAGGTGCATTGAAAGGTTTTCTATTTATTTACTTAAACTTCATGGGAGAGAAGAAATGAGAGAGAGTGTAAAACATTTCTGATGAAACAAAACACCATTGAAAGGTTTCATAACTCTGACAGATGACCTCCTCTTGCTAAAACAACAAACTGGGTTTGATGTAGTCTCCCCTGTTTAAGCATTAAAACGACTGGACAATTGTGTTCTAGAAACATAATTCACATTCAGTCACTAAACGTAAAAGTTACCTGTATAAATTGAAAATAAACATAATTTATATCTAATAAAATATTATATTTAACAATGAATTTTCTGGGCTCCTAGTAAAAATGAAAATGTTAATATTTTTTTATATTTACATTATTTAATAGTTATTGATCTTATTATTGTTGTATTTTAGTTTGTTTATTTCAGATTTCCTAATTTAAACAAGTAAGTAACTACTACTAGTTCTACTAACAATGATAATAATTATAACTTTCATTTAGTTATTACTTAATATAATTGTTTTTTTTTATATTGTTGTTTTTTTAACTTCAGTTTTCTTAATTTAAAAAAATAAGTTACTATTACTACTTACAATGATAATAACAATGATAAATATCATTTAAAGTAGTTCATTAAAATAATTGTTTAAATGTATCTGATAAAATTATGAAATGTATACCGTAGTTTACTAATCCTATATTAGAATATTCAACCATTTTAATTACTCTAAAATCACAAGCACTTGGGTTATGCAGCAGGACAATAATCCAAAGCAAAGTGTCAACATTTTGTTGGCTCCAAATATGTCAGGTTTTTAAATTGCCGTTTCAAATTCCATACTTAAATCTGATTGATAAATGTGGACTGACTGCAAGCAAACCAGTCATGCTAAAATAAATTAAAAAAATTAAAGTTAAAATTAAAAAACTTTTGGAAAATTATTTCCTAAACAATTATATAAAATAAATATTCCTGTTCTCAAAAACACTCAGTGTAGTTGGTACAGGCCGTGGAAAAAGCATTAAGTAAGGGAATATTAATTTTTAACTCAATACCTTTTAAATTTTCTCTTCATAAATAAAATAAATTTTAATAGAATGATAATAATAATAGCTGAAACATTTAAGAATACAAAATAGGCTAACATAGAAGAAATGCAAAGGAGGGAAAATACATTTCCAAATCACAAAATTTAAATTGTGTGATTTGGACATAATTTCTAAACTTTTTTAACTTTATCCTAAATATATCTCTAAAGTATGGACTCTAAAAACTTCATAGCATCTCTTTGAAAGTGTTATATAGGTGCAGAAGATGTCATTTCAAATAAATCTACCTGTACCTTAAATATTTATAAACAGACATTATCCAACGACAAAAAAACAAACAAAAAACTTTTATATTAAACAGTTTTAACTGATACCATCAACTTCAGTTTTTGATTTGCTATATCTAATGCAGGATAGCACAAAACAAGTAAAAAAGAAACCCTTACCGTTCCAAAGTCATCATCCACGTCACAATGCTTAGATTTCTATCAGACCTTCTGTGTATCTTGCATGCAGGTGTCATAACTCCTTTTTCCAGATTACGTTCATGTGTGTATTTGTCAGTGTTGTACAGAAGTACAGAGTAAGATTATTCCTCTATGCGTCACTGTGAGTCCAGCATGTGATTGTTTGATGTGTGTAAATGGCTAGAGTTTATGTTTTTCAGTTCCTTTGACACTCGCACATACACAGAGCTCTCCTCTGTGTATTGAGAAGTCTGTGTGGTTTGTATTAAGGTGTGTGTATGTGTGTAATCCTTAGTGCATAACAACTCAACAGAAGAGGCACTATGTCACCAACACCATCAGCAGAGAGTCCGTATGTTGGGACCAGAGTTTCCATCATTAACCATCCCACTGGGTCTTTGGATAGGAGAAGAGGAGCTGCAAGGAGAACAGTTTGCTTGCATGCAAATCCTAAACATACAGAAATGATACAAAACAGATACAGCAGTAGCTTTTGTGCATTTCGACCTATTCTGGTACTGAACAAAACCTTACCTATATCGCAAATTATTAGTTTTATGATGTTAACCATAGTCAATTATTTGACCAGTTTTTCTCCCCTTAAAGTTGTCTTCTTTTTTACTCTTTACTACATTGGATAACAGTATTTAATGTTAAGTAATCATTATCTGAATCTGATAAAAAAAAAAAAAAAAACCCCAAACAGTTTTAAATATTTATTTAAATAAAAAAAGATTAAGCCATCCCAACCTGGGTCTCTAGCTGAATAAACATTTGATCATACTATCATGCAGGAACATCTGTGATCAAGTATTTGCAATGGCAGGTATTAGGCTTTTTTGCTTTTTGTACTTTGTGGCCAATGAATTTCTGGGTAACCCTTCTTTTTTTCTTCCTTAACTAACTGCCTGATCAGTATTAATTGTGGTTATGTGACAATTTCCTGCTTCTGAACTCTGAGGAAAATGAAGCACTAATAATCGCACCTGAAACAAAATCCCTCAGATAAAGCAAAATATTGCTGACTAAGGCTTGTCTGTTCAGCCTCAGGAGCTTAGCTGTTGTGTTTGATTCAACAATGTCCGTGGAGAACAACTCTAAAAACATTAGTTAGGAACTCTTACTTCCAACTAAAGAATATTTCCAGATTAAGACCACTGGTGTCAAAAGGGTGAGTTGGAAATTATTATTCATGCTTTGATCTCCTCATGGTTAGACCATTGCACCAGTCTTTTTACCTATTTAAGTAAGAGGGAGCTTTACCGTTTTCAGGTTGTCCAGAACTCTGAACATTACACTGGTATTAGGAGCTCTGCACTGGTTACCAGTCCAGTATAGAATCTAATTTAAAATCCTTGTTCTTACTTTTAGAGCCCTACATGGTCAAGTTCCTGCCTATATCTCTGGGCTGATAGAGCTCTAGCCTCCGTCCCATAGTCTGAGGTCAGCGTGTCAAACATTGTTTGTAGTTCCACACACTTGTTTTAAAACCAGAGGGGATCGTTCATTCGAGGCAGTGGCTCCGAGGCTGTGGAATGCTTTGCCTCCTTCTTTACGCTGTATGAATTCTGTTGATTCTTTTAAAAAGGAACTGAAGACACATGTATTTAAGCCGGCTTTTAATTATATGTGTGGTTTTTATGGCTTTGTTTGTATGTTTCCATTTGTTTTTAAAATGTTGATATACATTATATTCTACATTGTTTTATTGTATCACATTTTTGCTGTGAAACACTGCTGTGATTTTTATCTGTATTTATACAAATACATTTTACATACATACTTACTTTTTAGTTATTTTTGAAAACGCAATGATGTTTTTTTTTTTTAGAACATCCTGGTCATGTCAAAATCCCACATTGTTTAAGACATTTAGCAGAGAAGGATGGTGAATTTGAATTTAACATTTACTAATCAGTGCAGCAGCACTCCATAGGGCCCAAGACTTGGAGCAATTAAAACCCTGTGTTTACTAAAGAAGCTGCAGCTTTGTTGATACCATAAACAGCAACAGTCACACCTATGCTGCAAGCAAAGTTTATCTTTGAAACTTGACAAAAGCTGAATTTTCCAACCATGTGAGGAGTTATGCAATAATTTAGGGAGTGATGGAATAAAAATAGGCCTAACTACCTGTGAAACGGGATGACTGGGCAAAAAAAAACATGAAAATATGCAAAGCTGAACGGTGATAAGAGGTGGTGAAACATAAAACAATGTCAAAGAAAAATGTGTTCACTGCTAAAGCCGGTCAGCTTGTAACTCTGCTTTGTTATTCTTCAACACACTGTTCTAATGCTTTCTCATCTGTGTATCCATGCAAATGTTCTCTCTTGTGGGAATCATCTTCAGCCCTCAAGAGGAGGCTCAGCCTAAGATACTGAAAACCTTAATACAACTCAGGAAAGCACTTTCACAACCTCACACGAACACACCCACACTACCACACAAATGCATGAGCTACATAAATGTATGCATCTCCAGTGTGGAAACTAAGCAGATACGCAGGAGCTGCATCCCTGGTTGAATAGAAAGCGAACAGGAAGCAGAGATGGAAGAACGGAGAGATAGCACTGGTTGGTTGGTATGCCTAAAATTAGTCACAGGTATTTTTAATTCTGCAAAACTGGAATGCTATATTATACATGATGCTTGAAGATACAAAGACTTACATACTTACAATAATTATGAATGAAAAAACAAATAAAAGTTTATCACAATTTCGTTGTATTCATTGTTTGAAGATATTGCAAATGTTGGCAAAATGTTACAGGAAATCATTGTTTAGATCATTTCCGACGATATAATACAGGGTAACACAAATGTATGTGTGTATTGTATATTAATGAAACGTACCTTTCTTTAAAGTAAAGAAATAAAATGAATTCTCTTTACAATCAATTGGGTGAGGGTCAAACTCATGATTAGCCAAAATGGAGACATAGGTAGATGCAAAGCAGAAGAAAACCAAATAAAACAAAAATGCATGAATTAAAACCAGTTTTTGGTCAATAAACAATCTAGAGGAAAAAAAAATTCAGGCCAAAGTAATGACGAAAGCCTTGTGCACCTCCCTGTAGGCATTTCGGAGGAGAACATAAGGGAAGCAGCTTTCCAGCATGTCTTGGCTTAGAAATGGAGAGTCTTCCACAATCTAGATCAATCAACAATAAAAGGACAAGACCTTGTTAATACACAATGCTTGGCTAATACTGGTTGTCAAATATTTAGTATAGATATTTTTAGTATCTAACAAAGTCAAAATTGTTCCTAAAATCCATTTCTTTAAAGCTCTGTATTACTTACTTACAATTAACTACAGTATTAATTAATAATAATAATAATGGCTTTGGTGAAACTATATTCATTTTTATGACAGAAATATCATGCTTTGTAGAGCAGTTTAGAAATGATTTGGAAGCGGTCTACCATGTGCAGAAGCAGGTAGACAGACTCCCGATTTTTGACATCCATCCTTTCCACGTTTTGTCCCAGCTGAAGCAGGGTGGAGGAAGCCAGCTGTGTAAAGACAGGGGTGTGCAAAAGAAAGTGAAAAAACTGATTTGAAGTGTAGAGAAAGCTTTTTCAGCAGAAACATCTTCAGGGCAGCTCATTAAAGCACCTATTTGTCTTTTGACTCATTGAATGGGAGAGCAATTTAATCAAATTATGTGTATCTTAGAGCAACAGAATTAAAACAATCCCTGAAACATACAGTAGTGCCTTTAAATCTTGTGCTTGTAATAAGTTAAGCAATTCCTAGATAGAGAGTTTACTCTTTTAAATGTTTTCATCTGGATATATTTTAGAGGTCTGCACTCTAAAGAGTGCATTTCAATTCATTTCAATACAGTTTATTTATATAGCACCAATTCACAATACATGTCATCTCAAGGCACTTTATAGATACAATTCAACCAGATCATACAGTCAAATTAATTCAAAGTTTTCTATCTAAGGAAAACGATTTGATTGCAATGACTCATTGATTTGAAGGCAATCCCTCACACCAAGCACACTTGTAGTGACAGTGGAGAGGAAAAACTCCCTTTTAACAGGAAAAAATACTTTCAATAGAACCAGGCTCAGTGTGAGCGACCATCTGCCGAGGCCGACTGGGGTTCAAGGAGACAGAAGCAGAAATACAGAAAGAAGCAGAGACACAAAAGGTAACTGCAGACCCCATCCACAGGCAGCCCAGTTCAGGAAACAATTTTTTTGAATTTGACAACACAAAGCACTGTAAGTAGCCTAGTGTAAGTGCAGAACCCTATATGATCCCAAATTCAAGTAATCAGTAAGTATCCTATATGTACCAGAGAGGTTCTCTCCTTTTATGTATCAGTGTAGGTAAATAACAGGTCACCTTGTAAGTCTGTAAACTTGTATTTGGATCAAAGGTAAATTGTAGATAACACTCTAAGTGCCAATAAGTACTCTAATAAGTACACAATATGCACCTATTGGGTGTGCTCCTGTTTTCACAATGTAAAGTGCTAAGTTATACAGAAAATCTTCCATGCTCACCAACAGGAACTCTTTTAGCTGCTGCTCGATGTTTTTGTTCTGGGCGGTAAACATGGCAGCAGCCAGTTGATTGATTGCTGCAGCTAAACAGTGGATGTTGTTGTTGTGACCTAAGGAAAAAAAATGAAAGAAAAAGCTGTAGGTAAACACGACTGTGGAAAGGCATGTCCTCTACTGAATCAAATGAGGAGAGGATGTTTTAGAGACCAGAGTGATTGGAGAAATTCTACTTAATGAACTGTAACTCTTAATAGGAAGCTTGCTGGGCATATTTCCACTGGCTCACAGGGTTAATTTATTTCACTTATGTCAATGGAAAATAAGGACAAAGAAAATAATCAGAGACTAATACCACTGTATGCCGTGATAGAAATCTTGGCAATTTGCTGCTCTTAATGTCTCAGTCTAGGCTCAAAGCCAAGCAGTTAGGGTCAGCAGGGCTGAATGCCAGGAGTAACTGCATCCATGCACGTCAGCCAGAGTTATCTGTAAACTAAAGCCTCTCAACAAAATGTGTTTCTTATTAACGTCCAGGCTTTACTCCGGACCGTATCAGACTGGAAAGTATGATGCTAGATTTTCAGGGTGAAGTACCCTTTATATACACTATCAGCAGCTGTTGAATAATTGCTGGAGGAACAACTGATTAGTGTTTACTTGTCTGTCTGAAGAGTGATTACTGTCAAGCAAAGCCTGTGGAAGCTGAAATGAGCAAGCAAATGTGCACCTCCATGTTCTCTGCTATACAAGGAGTTGGGGTCCAGAGCTAGGATAGGCAGCGACACGGCTATGTAGACCAGTAACAAACGAGAGAGCTTGAATTCCTCTTCAACCGGTGTGTTATCTGCAACATTTCAACAGAGTAAAAATGTGAAAGTCTATTTATGCCCTTGTTTTGATAATGTACAGAAAGCTGTGACCAATTAGAAAGTATTATTTTACCTGTTTGCATACTGCCAATGGCTGCAACAAGGGCAGGATCAATGTCACATTTTATTCCTGCAGCAGAAGCCAGTTCAAAAACACTCAAAGTCACCTGCAGGAAAACATGCATATTTCGAATAATTATTTGTGAGAGATCAAAAAATCACAGGAAGCCTGTTCAACCTTTCAGAGGCAGTAGAGTTTCCTCTTTTCTTTTCCTGCTTGCAGAAGAAGTTAAATGAAATTCAGATGTTTCTGGTTTGAATGCCATTATGCTAAATCATTTTTGATACAAAAGGGGATGGTCTTTTTCTCATTTTCTTTCTCAGGATATAAAATTGAGCAAACCGCTTCACAGAATTTGTTCTAACAGTAGAAGGTGTCTTTGTCTTGACACACGACTTCTGCCTTTGGCCTATTTCTAGTTGCATGCGAGGTCATCCTGTCAAGAGAAAATGTTTCCACTGATGTGGTTCAGAGTGCAAAGCTGCAGCCGCAATCAGACTCTCTCTCACGGAGGCATAAGAGGGCTGCTGACGTCTTTCGGGTTATCCTGGCCCAGACTGTGGCACGGTTGTCATGCCTCGCTCAGAGGCCAGACGTAAGTAAAGGGACGGGGGAGTTCATGAGTCACAGTCCCAAAGATTGCCCCTGAGGGAGATCAGGAATTCAGTTCAGTGGGTACAGAGAAGCTGATATATCTCATTCCTCTCCGGCAACCAAACTTAGATTTGCTGGAAAATATTATCCATTTTATAGATGTACTCTGCATCACACCAACACTCTTTCTGGAAGTGAACAATTTTAAATCAAGCTTTTAGAAAATGTTTGGTTACTTTAAAGTGAAACTAGTATGAAGCTGTATGCTACATATCTCTACCTTTGAAGGGCTGTTTGAAATGAAGTTAACAGCTGTTTTTACCTTGATGTCTGTCTCAGGGGAGATGAAGTCCCTCAGACATTCGATGGGTGCCATCAGGAAGGGGCAATGTTTCCGCAGGATCTAGATTACATCATCACAATAAGGTTATACTATTGTATGATATACAACATAATATAAATAGAATAGAAAATCCCTTTATTCTCCCACAATGTGGAAGGTGTTTACATCTGCAAAAAGATTATTGAAAAAAATTGTCACACAAATATGGATCATAGAAAAAAGTACTACTGAAGTCTTAAAAGATAAACAATGCAATACTCTACTGTAAAAAAATGTAAAATATAAAACTATAATATATAAATATAATACATGACTGCTTATTTAAATAAATATTTAAAATGCAAACTTTAATTACAGATTGGGAAGAAGTTATTGGCCTGCTTGAACATATCGCTAGTGACCCTTAGCAATAAGCAGTAGAAGATGGATACATGCATTTATATGCACAAATTTATCTTTAATTCTATGGAATCTGTTAAACATTACATCTTTCAGACAGTTCATTGCCATGGATCTGAATGACAGGATCACTCCAATGATGGTCATCCTTTTTAGGACATTTTCTCCACCTGGAAGAGCACAGAAAACTCATCATTTGTTTGAAAGAAGCTTATAGCCACATTTAACCATACCCTTCCTCTGAAGCACAGAAGTGTCTAAATATGAAACTTAACTTATCAGCATTAGACATCTTATTTGCTTATAGTTTTACCTCAAAAAATGCAAATAAGTATGAGTTTTAAATAAACTACCAAAAGAGGGTTTAGCACACATAAAGAGTAAGCCATCTATATCTTTACAGTTCCTGTTTTCATATTTTTTTTTCAATTCTTTTCTACCTTTCTCTTTTTTTGCTTTGTACTGTGCACGTCTCCCTCTGCATTTTTTTCTCAGTCCCTTGGCTAAATCTTCACACCTCTATCTCTGATTAAACCAAAGTCACTTCTCACCTGTCAGCCTCTTTTTGAGATTGGCCATCTCCTCGGGCTTGTCAAAGTTGTTTTTCATTTGTACCAGGATGTCCATGTTCTCTATCACCATTTTCTGACAGAGAATAAGAAGTGAAATAAGAGATAAAACCCCCTTTAGGTTTGTGTTTTGAAAAGATAAAAATACGTAGCTGTGGTTGATCTCTTTGATATTATCCACTGTAAACTCACAGCTGTGACTTTATCATATTTGCATACAGTTGAGAAGAAATTATCATTTTTAAATACAAAACTGTAGGTTCATACAGGTTTGACAAATTAAAGTAATAATTCTGAATGTCCCCTTCGGATGAGGGGAAATACTCGCCTCTGAGCTCAAGCCTTGAACCACATACTTGTCCATATAAGTAATATTTTGGTGGACAAAAGGAAAAAAAAACTGCTTTAACAACATCTGAGTGCAACACTAAACGTTAAGCTGATTACTTTTGAAATGGAGCATGATAAGAGTTTTCCGTTTCAGAGCAGCTGATCAAAGTAAGTTTGATCAACCGATTTAAGTGCATGTCCAGAGAAGGGGGTAAAAGAAAACAAAAAAAAAAACTGAATGAATATCAAATACTTTAAGTACCCATAGCAGTGTGTGAAAAAAGAGCAGGGAGACTACTTAATTGTTTGATCATCTATTCAAATAAAAAAAACAATAGCATACCTGTTCACAGATTGATAATATTTCTGGTTAGTACCTCTTATTTCTAATGTTTGTACTTAGAAGACTGTCAAATGGCAACTATATTGTGACAAATTTAAATAAAATAAAAAAAAGATTTTATAAATATTTTTCCTAGAAATCTCTACAAAACGATCAAAAAGATTGTTTTGTATACATTTTATGATCTAACTCACTCTTCTGATGTTTTGTGTAAAAAAATATTTGAATGTAAAATGACTTTATTTTGCCTGTTACTGTCAATTATTATAAGAATATCAGACCTAACATTTGTTGTTGAAATCATTTTAGCTTCACATCACACTGTACCTTCAGCTCAGAGACTTGAGATGTTATGTGCCACATCAGGTTTTCTCCCAGAAACTTCATGCCATATGGGCCGATCAGTTCTGCCAAGCTCTGTAACTCTGCAGAAAACATGCGATTAAGTTAACATTTTCAATGCTCAGACATAGTGCAAAAAATGTGGATTTACAGCAGCACAGCTCAGAGTGATATGGTTTCCTAATGCGGTGTTTTCAAAGGAATTCAATACAAAGCCTGACTTGCAGTCTGATTTTGCAAACATTAAATTTGATCAACGAGTGTAGCTGAATCAATGAACCTAGAAAACGGGAGCTGAAAGATTTTTTTTCTGAATGCATCTTAAAATGAAGGTAGGCAATGAATCTGGCAAGAAAGGAAGAGTAAATATAGACAGCAGGGATGACAATGTGTGGAGGCGTTAACTGCAGTACAGAGGTGTCCTTGTGATGAGTGTGCAAATCTAACACTCAACGTGTAAACATGAAAGTGTGTAGTAGAGTGAATGTGGTCTTCATAAGGACCTATACTGCTGCTCTGAGGTAATGTGGAGGTGGAATGAGAAGCTCTGTGGAGAGGAGACATGTGATATTTTATAGTTGCATGTGGAGTAGAGAGAGGAATAGGGTGAGTAATAGAAGGTACAGACGATTAAATGAACTGGGCAATGTCAGGATAAACTGACAAGTGGTGAGAGAAAAAACATTGCACACCAACACAATTGCAAACTCCACATCCTCTTGAGCAACCAAACCTCTTTCATATGCACACTGTTGACACACTGCAGGTTTTGTCTTTTGCAAACAGTGAGTTTTTTCAGGAACTAAACTAAAAATATTTTATTAGCTCTCACCTAAAGTATTATTAAAAGTGAAGAACATTTTCAGAGAAAAGGAAAATATCTCTTCCCACATTAATTTTTCTCTTTTCCAACAGTTTAACTGAACAAGATGTGTGTTAAAATGTAAGTTTTTACACACTAATTACAACAGTTACTGAAATCTGACTTAATATGTTTGAAATTACACATAAATTTGTTTTATAGTTTTCATGAACAACAGAGAGGAATATAATCAACTATAGTACTCTACAACAGAAATAAGTTTTAAACTCAAGGAAAACCTTATTGCAATTATGAATCCTTTTACATTTTTCCTTAAATTTTTCAGTTGTCTCCCAGATTTGAACAAGTGATGAACAAGTTTGATCCAGTTCTGTGTGATATATAAAGAAAACATGTATATGCAGTGTATTTTGGTTTGGAAAATATTGTTTGGTTTTATTGAAAATATTTGTTGAATGTGTGATGATAGCATTTTGCAGCTAGGATTTGGGCCCATGGCTTTATTTTTCCTAATCCCATGTTTCTGTCAAACATGAAAATAACAGCATTTCCATTTGAAAATATAAATTACATAGTTTCCTTCATATATTACGGTACGTAAAAATAACCCAAAAGAAAAATCTTTATTTAAAGATTGCAATAACTTAAGTTCTTAATATTTTTAAATAGTTACACATTGAGAAGATGCTCTTTTGGAGGTCTTGCAGGAAATGTTTGATTTTGCATGTGTGGTGGTTGAACTGGGAGGGAGATGTACTGTATTCATGCAGGTTTAATCTAGATCCCTACTTTCTCATTCACTGTTACTGTATAAAGTCCATCTTCATCTTTTGGGTTTCTGCATCTACTATTGGCTCTAGTATTACTTTAACTGGACGTTTTTTACAGGGCCTTAATACTGACTAAAAGGCTTTTGAACCAATTTTATGCATTGCACTAAGGGAACATGCATGTATTGCCAGAATTAATTCTGCTTTAGTTTGTACAGTACAATTAATATTTCATGGCCAGAACCTGATTACAAGTCTTTTAAGCTCTGGGGCTTACCAGAAACATCAGAGAATTCCTCTGCTCTGAAGCTTTGTTCATTTTCTGTACTCTGACTGACAAAGCACTGCATAGTAGGACAGTGGACAATCAGGGAACTGCTTGCTTGACGTAAAAGAGCCTCTAGATACCTGAAGTGCAGGAAAACAAAAAAATCATGAGAATGCAGAAAAAAAAACTCTGCTGTTTACCATATAAATTGAAATAAATTGAATAAATACCACTTTTCTGCATGACTCAGAAGGTTAGAAAACAAGGCAGAAACAAGTTATGTAATGCATGTCATATACATTTGACTCTATGTGTATGAAATGCATTTACAGTGCCTGCATAGTATTGCTATCTGTTGTATAATGTACATTCTCATTTCCTTTAACTCTGTTTGCTGGATAGATCAATACAAGGTAGAGCAGAAGTATAAAGGGAAGGAAAACAACAGCGGGTTTATATAACAGATTCCAAAATAAAATGTGGAAAGACTGTGGTTTGCATTAGTATTCAGCCACAATGAATCAGTGCTTTGTATAGTTTGGTTACAAGGTTTCAGAATCAATTACTGCTTCAAGTCTTTTTCACACATATAGACTGAAATTATTGGTCTATTCATCTTTTCAGATTAGCACAAGCTTTGGCACAGTCTTGTACTGAAGTTTAACCTTTAAATCTAACACTTGACTATGTGTTTCATCTAAAGTGTTCCACTAAAGGGCTGGAAGTGATTGTACTGACCCTACAAGCCTTTTACCCACCTGAAAATGGGACTTCTAGTGACTTCCCCTAAACAATGGCCTTTGGAATTGGAGCCTTTTGCAAAGGCCAGATAATTTGAGTGTAGAAACACATTTCCTGAGCCAGGGTACTGCATGGTCACTCCAGATTTGCAAAGGGTATACTGGCTGTTTCTTTTGCCCAGACTCTCATCTCTAGGGGACGGTTTTGTCTAGATAGGTTGGCTGTTTTCAATGTTTCATTGAATCAGTTGTCAATAATGAAATGTGATCAATCAAAAGCTCAAACATCTGTTACATTGTTTTATAACTCATAAATTTTTCAGTCCTATCTACAGCTTTACCTCTAATCTATCTTATGTGTCCCTTAATCCCTTTATGGTTCTATATGATCTCTAACAAACTTAGACAAACCTTCACAAAAAGTATGTATTTATGCTGTGAGTAAATTAGATCTCAATGGACTCAACTTACTCTATCTTGAGTTACTTCTTAAGGCTTGTCTATTGCCCTGGATTTTATGTTGCATTAGCTAAACAAATAGAGCTGAATACCTTTGCATGCCACATCTTTCAGGGTTTCTTTTTGGGAAAAAAAAAAGTTTTTATCCTAAATCGTTTTTCTTTTCTTTCTACATCATGTACAATAGAAAGAAAACACGGTTCACTCCCATAATATCATGCCGGCTTGCAAGCTTCTGCATGTAAAGTGGCAAAATGAGAAGAAGTAAAAGGGGTATCCCTGCAATAAATATACATTTCCCCAAACCCACCAGGTCGTGTAGTAGTGTGTAACTGTCGGGCCTCCTTGGGAGTCTAGCGGCTGCGTTTGCTGCAGCAGCACATTCTTCACCAGCCGTGTGACGTCCACACTGATGTAGCTTGCGAGGCTGTGCAGGCAGGATGTGTAGGATCTTATCCCTGCCAGCAGGTCAGACGGACGTGTTATCTCCTGGGTGGTCTGATTATAATTGGTCATCTTGATGATGATTCTGGAGAAACATGTTTAAACAGTGTCACTTGTCAGCGGGCTGAGGGTTCTCAGATGGGATCTTAAAAGTAGTTGAGTGAGCAATGGTGGGTTGGCAGTGTAAGTAAATGATTCTGGGGCTCCAAAAAGCTTCACGAGAAATTACTTCACTTTTATGTCAAAGCATGTACTTCTCTCTTTTTCTCTCACTTATTGTATTTATAGCTTCACCCATAGAGACCTATCACTAGAAGAATGCTGCTACTCAAGGGACCTAAGTTTGATGTGAGAGGACAGATAGTCATCAATGATGACATAGAGACAAAACAGAAAATATCCAGAGCATCATTAGGTCCCTCTGGGGCCAAAAGCTTATATAAACAATTAGAACTGAAGAGCCAGGGAATGACATCAGTGTGTTTAACACAGCGTAACAGAAAGGAATCAGATATTGTTCCAGACTTTATGGCTGTGGTGAGAAAGACAATTCGAAATGATAACACATCATGTGGAAATGTTTTCTATTTTCAGTCTTTACGGATTCTATGTGTTATGTAGATTCTTTTAATTTATACTAGCCTAAAAAAAGTAGTTTGGCTAAATAAAAACAACAGTACTGTGGAGTGACAGCATGTTTAAAGAACGATATAGCAACTCTTAGTAAAATGTCACTTCAGGGTCGTTTTCATTAACTCATCTTTCTCTCTTTGGTTTTAGTCAGCTTACTCAGTCAGACGCATTTCCAACTGGGAAAGGAGGAACTCTGCTGGAACGACAACATGTTCAAAGACCATAAAGTCACTGCCGAGACTGTAGGAGGAGCAGAGCTCTGTCAGCATCATGTGCATCTTGTCCACGCTACAAGACAGAGAGACAGAGGGAGGACGATTCAGTTCTTCAGGAGGTTAGGAGAAATTTTTTAACAATGACTTCAGAGTATAAGTTTTCTCTCACAAATAAGGTAATAATGATAACAGAGAAGTGACGGCATGTTTTCAAAATGAAACACAGAGAAGAAAGAGGATAGGATTACATTTCTCCAGAACCTGGTTAGCTTTGAATGAAAACTAAAGTAATTATAAAAACCACAAATATAAAATTTGCAGATACTAACATTGCACGGTACATTTTTATCTATGCAGCACAGGCATTTTGTTCTAAAATGTATTGGCTTAAATAAACTGTCAACCTAATTTAAATCAACTTAAAGGGTAGTAAAGTAAGGCATAAAGCATATTATATCTGCTTGGTGACATATTTCCTATTTTGTCTGTCCACTAATAACAAAAGCTTAAAATGTTCTAAGAAGAAGAGAATGTTTGAAAAGTGTGAGCATGCATTTGAATTGAATTTTAAACCCAATTCAGGCCTGATAATTAAAAGAAAATTTTGTAGCAACAGTTCATATGTGGAATATGATTATCTACCCAGGCAGAAATCATTTTTGGACTGGATGTTTTACTCAAGTACTTGATAATTTTTTGAGGAAAAGTTATCCATTACTGTCAATTTAATATATTTTCAGCTGCTTAATTAAAAGTCCTATCAACCTGGAATGGTGCACGACCGCATTTGAACATGACACTACACTGTGGTTGGCTAAAGGTGCAATCTGACTTGCAGCTTCTGATTTGGAAATTTAGTAAATTGATCTTTCACAGTATTGTTTTAGGGAATATGGTTTTTTAAACCATTGGGTAAAACAATATCATTAAAGGACAAAAATATTCCTTTTTTTAACCATATTTCAGCATCACTTGGGCAGTAAAGAAGGGACTCACCCAACTTAAACTTTACGTAAGAAATGCCCCTGATAACATTTAAAATACTTTTCTATTATCTTTCTTCTTTCAAACTGAGCAATTTACTAAGAGTTTCATTCAGCTTTCAGAGACTGATATGGGGTTTGGTTTAAAAAAAAATGACTTCCCAAAATCCACAGAAACTCTTTGATGTGTTTGTATTTTTTAGTAGCAGCTAATATTTATATAATTGAAGGATGGTGTCTTTTATGATAATAATAAGAAGAATGGTAAATACTGACTTTTACTTTTATTAGCACATTAGTGAAGTTTCTGGGTTTTGAGCATAATACTCACGTTAAGGTAATACATTTTACATTTTCTGATCCAAAATTCTATCTTGAAAATGATCAATTATTTTTATATTCTCTAAGTATGCTGAATCTGTCTCTAGGTGTCAATGGTTTATATATTCATACTTTATAAACAATTTGCAACTATTATTATGGTTCTGTTATACATGGTTTTTACAAAGTATAACTATTTTCTGCTGAGTGACATTATTATTTTTTTTTACACATTGTAAAAAGGAAAAGAACAGTTATCATTAGAGGGAAAGTCATGTAGTAGAAGCTTACTTGGTGGCCACTGTTCTGTCTTTTCTCAGGCTCTCAGCACCCGGTTTCTCTTTTTGGACCTCTCCTTTCTTTGGCATTGGTTTCTTCTGCTTTCTGTAGCGAGCAGCACTGATTGATTCAGCACAGTGTTTAGGCAGTAGCTAAGCCATGATTTAAAAGGGTGCAAATAAATGGGAAGCCAGAAAAAGCAATAGAAAAAAAAAGAGGAAGGTAGAAGAATTAAACCGGATGTACAAAAGAAGCAGTCTGCTATTTTCATTTACATTGCCTGAGATAAAGAGAAAATTGTGCAATCTTATCATCTGAAAATGTAACTGTTCTCAATTGGTTAAATGGATAGATTGACTGTGTGTGGATATGGACTTTGGCAGAAACATGCTGCTGTATAATTAGTTTTCTAAAAGTTGATGTAGACTCCACCTGGTCATTGAGATTGCGCTGTTCTGCACATATTTCCATCACCACACTGCTCGTCTGCTTTGCTATCTGTTCCAAGAAGGTCACACAAAGCCGCAGACTTCGCTTCTCCAATATCTCTGTCTACACATGAAAACACAGGCAGACAAAGGGAAAGTTTGACTGTGCATTGCACACAATTTACTGTAAAATAAAAAAAAAGATACTTTTTTTATTTCAAAAATTTAAGCAAAGTGAGGGTTATAAATTAACCTTCACTCTGAGTGTTAACCATTGTCCCAACTATTGGATGTAATTTTAAACAGATGACAGAATACTGACCTCTTCTGGACAGAGAGGGTGTCCACACTGACTGAAGTGAGAACATATGAAAGGGAAGGACATGAGGTATCGCTTCATTGTCATCTCTTCGCTGCTCTGGGTGAACATCTTTTCAAAGACACGGGGGTAGAAGCTGGTGGAGAGAAAAATCAAACGGTGACTTTTAAAGGACACGAGAAATCTAGTGCAGAAGAGATGAAAGCAGAGGAGAGACTGACCAAAGTATGGAGAGCTCTGATGTCTCGTAGAGCATTTCTTCCACACTGTCTACCATCCTGGTGTGAAACTGGATCATGTTCATCACCTTAGCCAAGTCCGGATAGTCTTTCAGTGGAAGAGGGGCCTTATTCACACTTGTGTAGGCCTAGAGTCAAATGATTAATCTTGTTTGTTAGAAACATGGAACTTTAAATCAGTTTTTAATTTGTTTTTATTCTTTAAAACACAATAAATAAAAAACCTGAAGTCTCAGCCAGTCCATTCTTATTCCTCTAAGATCAAACTCCTCTTTGTTGTCCACTGCAGAGATCAGACAAACAGTTTCTCCATTACAATATATTTCACTTGCGTCACTTTTAATTTTTGTCATAATCACAATTGGAGGAAGTTTCAGAGAGAATGTTTGCCTTTTTAAAACTTCCCACTGAGGAGTGTAATACCCAAAAGTGTTATTGAAAGCATTTTAAGCTTTAAAGTTCAGTACTTAAGTAATTTCGAACTTTAAATGAATAACTCAAAGAATATATCTTTCCTATGTTTTTTTTTTATATATATATATAATTTGACACTAAAGCCTCTTGATTTGCTTTTTGTGTCACTTTATCTCAAAATAAAATGAAAAATATTCATGAAACGATCCAGTACACAGAGGGTGAAAATACATTTTATACAAATACCTAGAAATCCCACCCCTGTCATATCTAGAGGTAATGTGAAGATCTTCTTTTGAAAAATCAAAATGTCTAAATGTTTAAAATCTTTTTTGGAATATGTCAGTGCTTCAAATGGTCTTCTTGACTAGATTATTTCAGATATAAGCTAAAATTATACAGTTTGTTGGAAATTTAGACATCTTTTAAGATTTTCCACTAAGACTCACTGTCAAAATAATAACCAGTATCCCTGATTCTCTTTAACTAAAATCATCATGGCAGGACTGAGGCTTTGTTGAACTAACTAATGAAAATCCAGAGTATTGTTCACCTTAAAATTATTTTCCTCATTCCTACATGTTTAAAATCTTATCGGGCTCTTTTAGAATAAAAATAACACAAATCAACACTGTATCACTGCTAAACATCTAGGAAACATAAAAGCATTAAAGTAAAAATAGATATACTCTATTTTTTTTTTAAATATGTGAAAAACAGAAAAAAAAATACATAATTATTAAATTAAATATTGTCATTTAGATCAATTTTGTTGTTTTGTTATTTTTTATTTTATAGTGATATAAATCATACTTTGTGGTAGTTACCTTGTTTAATAGAAAGAGCAGAAAGGGTCGAAACAAAGGAGCTCATTAGAACGGACTCCTCCTCTGGACAAACATACATGTTCTGAAGTGGAGTAAAAGAGATGTTATGAATGTTGCTCAGATAAAACTTCAAAGATATATATTTTCTTCTTTTTTTGACCTCCGAACTCATAAACTATGCATGTATATTCTGTTAGTGTTATGCACCTGTATGGTGTCATTGAGAAGCAAAGCATCATACTGTGCCAGGTACTGAACATGGTAGCGCTGGACAACATGGTTATACTTTCTCATCAGTCCTCTCAACTTCTCCATATGAAACAGCAGCTCAGCCATCTGACTGCAAGGAGAAACAAAAAAAAAACATTATCAGACTCAGATCTTAGCCAATATTTGTGGGGAGATATTTTATCATTGTGTAATTTACACCATTTAAGATAATGATAAATATCTGGTGCTCCTAATGAGAAAAAAATCTAATAGCCCAAGAGACCTAAAGATACTTATGCCTCATTTAGTCCAGTGATGTGGTACAGAGCTTAAGTTTGTCAGTGCCAGATATCTACACACTTTTAATGTGACGGCAACAGTACATAATCTCAGCAGGCTAGGGTTAACTTCCTGAGTACCTACTTGTCATTGTAGTCGTCTAGAGTCTTCATTTTTGGCATGTTCTCTGAGTGTCTGACGAGCCAGAGGACTTCGTCACGGGAAAATGACAAAGCCATCATGACAAATAGGGCCTTTGGGATTTAAATGGACCAAAGAGCAGAAAAATGGAGAAAATTAGGAAAGGTCATTCTTTTTTTCCACAGATGGAAACTGGATCAGCTTAAGAAAACACTTTAGTCCTGCAAGTTCTCATCCATTTCCCACCTTTGGTCCAAGAAGTCCAGGTTCATCTTCTAGAACTTTATATAATTCCTTCAAAGCTACTCTCAGAAAATGTCTCCTCTCTCTGTGCATAGCTCCACTGTTAACAGAAAATAAAACAAACCATTAAGAGTGACTGCATGACAGAATAGTTATAAAGGGTAAAAAGATTTTACCAATTGGCCAGAACGTGCTCTCGGCATTCCTTGATGTCTGCAATGCGCTTGCTGTATCTGATTATGTAAAAGAAGGAAGAAAAAAACAAAAAAAAACAAATTTACTTTCTCACAGATGATAACTGAGAGTAATCAGAATGCTCTTAGATTATTGAGGTGGTTGTACCATTAGTCTTTATTATGAATAAAATTGAAAGTTTAAAATAGAAATAACGCACCCCTAGACTCTAGTCTATAAAACACTGTCGTCATTGAACTATAAATCATGTCACTTTCTGTTCTGGAGAGAACCCTTTTGTAATTGATTGTAAGCTTTGATTTTTTTCACTAAAAAAATGTAATCTTTTTATATTTCAAAGCTGACAGTGTGGCAGGAATGATTTAAAAGAAGAAAAAAAAAACATCAGTGCCTCACATAGAAAAGGTTTTCACCACTTGTGTTCCTAATCATTTCTGATCTGATGCAAAACAAGTCTTTAAGGAATGAAGTTTAAAGTGCTCACAAAATATTTCAATTAAAGCAATCTTTGTCTTGCCACATCTCTTTTGCAGTGTTAATTGATTTTCCCTTTGAGAATAATAAAGTATTACTGAACTGCATTAAGTGAAAAGGACCTAACTTATTCATAGGTCATATGTTCAATCTCTTGCGCTGGATCAATGTGTTTAATGTCTTTATTTTCCTTTGTATTCATTTTTTGTGTGAGGAATCTAATCTAATCTAATGCAATTTCATGCTGAGCCTCTTTCTAATAATTTAAAGCCAGAATAAGGCTGGAGTTTCCACAGGGCCACACAGAACATGGAGGATTTAATTCAGTTGTGGGGTTTTAACAACATTTTATGTACTGTGTCAGATGAAGGACAACTACAATTTAACAAGCTCCTCATTAAATGATTTTTAACTAACACTTGCTTTACATTAATATTTGATTCTATCATTTAATTTGTGTAAATAAAGTGTTGGTAAAATCCAATCCACAAGTTCCAGACCAATGTTCGTTCTTTAAGCTTACGTATAAAAGTGGCTACCATCTGATTTATCAATATAAAGAGAAAAGGACATTTTTTTATTTTTAGGTACTAAGTCAGGATTTATATTGTTTATTCAATGTTTCATTGTTCTATCTTACTTTGAATACAACTGAGCTGTCATGCTGTGAATAATGTGAAAAATTTCTTGAGTGCTTGTATCATTACGTATATGTTCTACTACTTTTAGATTTTTATTTTTCCAATCCTGTTTGAAGAAACTAATAAGCTAAAATTTACACAATAACCTCATGTTTTGACTTTATAACGCTCATTTTTTTCTCTGATATATTTTCAAATAAACTTTGTATATAAGTCTGGCCCCTCTAGGTGGCGCCAGTGATCAAAGCAAGAATCAATAAAAGACAATGAAAACTTTTTTTTTTTTTTGGCTCCACAGATTGTCCTGAACACATTTGATATTCCTTTTTGTAAGATCCTTCTGTGGGCGGATATTCAGAGAATCAGACTATGTACCCTTTCATGCCATCAAAGTGGTCCTCGGTGACTTTGTGTATATTCAGGACTTCATCTCTGGTGTAGTTGAGGAATAGGCCGCTTCGTAGAGCCATCTTCCAAAGCTCCAGGGAGGCTTGGTTTGTATTCAGACTGCTGTGGCACAGCAGGAAGCCAACTAATAAAGAAACATCAGTTAGAGTCATCAAAGTCTATTATTACATAAAGGATGATAAACTTTGGTAATAAAATGCATAATATTTCTTCTGTCTCTCTAATTTTTCAGATTTCCCTCTTTCTTTATCATAATCTTCAACAAATTGTGTTTTTATTGGCTACATATACCACTGCTGACATCCGCTAACTGACTACTAATAGTTAGCAACAACAAATAAATTACAAATTATATTACCACAATAAACAACATACAGTCTTGCCTGATTTAGAATATTGAGTTGCAATCGTCATACAAAACCAAGTTGAGCTTGTAAATGGGTTCTGCTAGTAGTTTTTAGAAAGCTCTTAAACCATACTGTGTTAGTGCCTGCAGTTACTGTCACAAATTAGAGTCTACAAAGAGAATGACTTACTAATGATCCAGCGCTCCATTACGTCCAAAGGCAGGTATTCACACGCCATCTGTACAG